ACTTATATAGTGCAACTTATACCCCCTACACTGACCATAGTATCCCTCCGACTATAATACCCACATATACTGCTTAAATTGTAAAGTACTCTAGATATTTTAGTCCACGCTGTACAGTAGCTTTTACTTCTATCTTCTCTAGTATAGTTTTTTATTCATATATTTAATATATATATAATTAAATATTAAATAAAAAAGATAGAGAATAGACCTCTTTTTAAATAAAAATAAAGTTATTAAAAATATTAAAATATATATAATTTAAAAATTTTATGCAATTTAAACAATATTTATAGTAATATTTTAATTTTTAAAAAACACAATATTTTAAAAATAAGCTACAAAAATAATATCTTATTTTTAGTTATATATAGTAAAAAATTCTCTCAGAAGAAGACCAAAAAAAAGCTTAATTTTACTAAAAATATTTATATCTTGATGTATTATGTTTGTAAACTTTGTTAACAACTTATAAAAAAACACAAAATAGTCTTGAATTACTAATCTTAAATCTTCAGTGAAAAGTTGATTCAAGTAATTATTGAAAAGAGTCAATTTAACAATTTGAATATTCAATGCTAAATAATTATAAAATAATAGTTATAAATTAGAATAAAATATTTTTAATTTTGATAGTTTATAATACTTATTCTGTATGCCAACTACTACAAATATATTTATTAACATTTTGTATAAATTTGAAACCAAGAAGTTTAAAATAAAAGCCTACTAAGCTATTCAGTAATTGCTTTATTTATTATATTTAAGTTTATATGCTGCATAGCGCACATAGCATAATGTTCATTAGTTTTAGCTAGTATAGACCACATAGTTTCAATCAACGTTTTACATAAGTTTGGATATCTCAATCGTTTTAAAGCTATAAACTCTGTAAGAAATCTAAAATCACTATCATATGAAAATTCTTTTTTAATACTGTAGTCCTTTCTATATTATAGGAATTGACCTTGATTGGTGATTGATAATCCCTATCCAAGAAGCATTATGGCACATTTGTAAACTACCCACATTTAAAAAAAATTGACTACCGTAGTGCACTGACCAAAGTACCCCACTCAAAATACCCGGGTATTTTATATAGCTTTTTTTTTTTTAACCGAAGATAATACCCGGGTATTTTGCATAGCATTTTTCACGTTAACACATATTGATTTCTGCATTACATATATAAAAGTACCCCCCATACAAGATACCCCGATCAAGATACTCACGGGTACTTTATAAGTTTTTTTTGGTTAGATTGTATTAGACCCGGGTACTTTGGTCAGTGCACTACGGTACTAAAACTTCATACTGACTTTTTACTGTGCTAACGCAATCAATATTATATATAATTTCTATGTCTAACGAAGTGCGTCAAGATGGCACCAAAAATATAAAATTCTTTTTTGTCTTGGTTTTTTAAAAATAAGTTAACCAATTGTTTAAGAATGGATCGGTCCGGTTCAGTCCATCCCGATCCTAATGATGTTTTTCAGTCTCGGTCCCAAAGACGGTTATCATCTTATTGGCTGGCGGAGAGAATTAAATCATATGACATCGGTAGTCGAAATAAGAGATTACCTATTTTTAACTATCTATGAAGACCGGTCGAACTGGTCTCAAGGCCGAGAACCGAATAAACGTGAGACCGGTTAAAATTCGGTCTTTATTCAGTCTTTTCAGAACCGATCCAACCCTATGCGTATAGAAACTGGCCGGAAGACATTCAGATACCTTTACAATAGCGGGAAAATTCGTGATAATAGTTATTTCACGTTTTATAGATATCATTAAACACCACGGATCAGTCGAGAGATTATGCAGTATTGTGGCGTAGCCACAATGATGCATAAGACTGGGATGTTTCATGATGTCGACGACAATACGTGTAATAACTGATTTATTACATGGATCTAGAGTTGGGAACCTTTGAATATCCATCACGGCTATTTAATGAATATTCACGGATCTTAATCATTCGCAAATAATAACGAATGAATATACACATTTTACGTGGATATTCATAGAAAATTCACGGATATTCGAGGAATTTGCAGATATTCATAGAAAATTTGCGGATATTCAGAGAATTCGCGGACATTCATAGAGATCGCGGGTATTCATAGAGAATTCGCGGATATTCAGATAATCTCATGTTATTGCTTTTCTCATATTTACCAACTATTCGCACAGATTACACGGATATTCGCACAGAAATATTCATGCAATATATTCACACAGATATATACACGGATATTTTTACAAGGAATATTCATACAGATATTATTCACGGATTTTTGTGTAACAAAATATTCACTGCTAATTGAATATCCGTGAATATTCGGATCCTAACATCCATGACTTTATAACTATTATTTCCACAAGATTTTCACGGCTTTTCTTCACTCAAATGAAATTTCTTTCTTTTAAGATTCATTTCTTGGTTATATTCTTTCAAGATAATTTGCGACAACCATAATACAATCTAAAACTGTGAAAATATCAGCCGTGAAAAAATCAGTAAAAAAAGTCATAGGTGAACAATTAGGAATCGTGTAATAAATTTTTTATATATTACCGTTACAGACAACCGACTTTGCATAGTCGGCTAAGCCAAATTTTCGGCTTAGTCGAGTTGACAAATTGGGATCAACTACAAACACTAGCGCTAGTAGATATAAATACCGTATATATGTTAATTATATTTTAAAACTAAAACCTTTCTTACCACGTATATTTATATCATATTTCAAGAATAAATTCACGATTTTTTTTTTACTGTATTTAAATTTATTCGGAATGTATTCCAAATCATCAAATTTTGCATTCTCTGATTGGCTATTTTCTTTTCAGAAGCTTGTGTCATCTGCATAATCGAAATAAGTAAAATCATCCATTATTGTGAGGTATTGTGACAATTGACATACGTATCAAATATGTAGTGCCCGTGTCATATGTATGGAAAATAAAGAAAACCAAATCGAGTAATAAGTCAAGAAAGCTAAACCAATTCTATACTTGACCATAATCTTGCATTCCAACTTCAATACGTACGCCTGCCTACTTTATGAACAGGGGATTGTTAGCCTCCCACGACAATACGTATACGCTTCTAACTCTCTAATTTGGTTAAAAAAATTTTTTCTTATAAAGAGTTAATGCGATTATATATATATATATATGCGATTATATCTATGAATTATTAATTAAGCAGTGGTGTTGTAATAATTGAAACCATTGTCTCAATTATTATAAAGAAATAATAGATTAGTAAGCCAAAACTTTTCGTATTTTAAAGATTTGGGAATTTCCCAACAAATATAACACATAAACTTGGAAAGAAGTTCCTAGTCTAAAATGGGTAGACCTTATACTATCGGTATCATCTGACATTTTTTTTTTTTTTTTGTGGCTAAATAGCTCACGTAAACTCAATGGTTTCTTATTGTTCGCCTGCCGTTCAAGCAAACATTGCGTTTAACGAGTGTTATCCTTTCTAGAACAAAATTGCAAGCCACACAATATGTGTAACACTCTTTTTGTCCTGCAGAACAATGTTGTGAAAGATGAGAAACCTGAAATAGTATTATATGTGGCTCATTAATTTTTCGGAAGAAACCCATAAATAGTGTACAGATGTAGATTGTACTTACTAAAATAACACAAATCTTTTTCAGACTTCTAAACTATGGTTCTTGGTAAGTTTCCAAAGATTGATCAGGTCAAAAATAATACTAAGTTATCGTTCAAGCACTGTCTGATAACCGGTTATTTGGTTAAAGATTTAAGATCAGTACAAGTAATTGAATCCTTCGAATTCAATTAAGCTGATTTTAAATCCTTAAACAAATAAATGAATTGTAAGGCGGTACTAGCAATGACTGATAACGGAATTACGATTTACTTGCCAAATAATTTATTATTTGGCAATGATAGTTGAAAATGGTTAAATAGTTAAATATTGTTATCTGCCGAATAGTATATACCGGTAGTTATTGGATGCGATGCAGCCAATAACGAGTTGTTTACAAAAAACATTCCGTTTATCTGGCTATAAGATTTAAGTACCAATTTCAGGGTCTCAGGGTCTCTTTGGGGCCAGCAGATAAACAAGTTACTTGTGTATAGCATTCAATAACGGTATCATCGGCAGCTTACGACCGGACTGATAAATGACTTGGTTATTCGGCAGTGTTCACGTGCTTCCGGCCAAATAATTATCTTCTCAGCATCGCCACCAACATGTCGCTTTCACATGATCATAGAAAAAAAAACCTTTTCAAATTCGTTTATGTTAGGGTTAGAAGTTAGAGGGATATGTTGTGAAATTTATCAAGGAAAACTTTTTGTTAGAGCACAAAAGGTGGTTTCACATACGAATGTTTGAAAAGTAAGCGGTTTTGACAATCTTTCGTGACCGTGCTACGTTACACTAAATTGTGAAAATAAATTTTATGTCGATCGTGACATTTGGTAATGATGCTCAAGTGGATGTTTCGCTTATATTATTCGCTAAATATTCTATCGTATATCTATATTCGCTAAATATTCTATCGTTATGTTTATTAGGGAGAAACTTCCGACAACTTTTGAACATCTTCATTTTTTCTAAGGCCAAACGTAGGGTTCCTCCGAGTTTGCTAATAGAATGCTTGGAAGAAATCCTTGAACATTTGGTACACGACAAATCAACGCTTTATTCTTGCCTTTTCGTTAATCGCCTCTTTTGTCGAATTGCTATTCCGATACTATGGCGACACCCTTTCGAATATCAAAACAAACTTGGATCTCATCTTATTCGTACCTATGTATCCTGCCTCGATGATAACCAGAAGAAACTTTTGTTAGATAACGGTTTAAAAGTCCCCGATTTACCAAAACCTTTGTTTGATTACCCAAAGTACATGCAAGGCTTTGATTTCTTTCATTTTTCTGAAACAGTTGAGAAATGGGTTGAAGGAAATTATTGGTCGATGCCTCCATTTCTTATTAGAAACATGAAATTCATTGAACAACTCATTGGCAATATGCTCTTTAGTCGATCTATTGGATTGCAAACCTTTAGATATTACCGGGGATTTAGAAATATAATTGACTATCAATACTTTACTGATATTAAACTATATACGGGATTTGCTCATTCCTTATCCAAGCTTCAAACATTTGAATTTCAAGCCTTTAGTTATCGCGATAATAACTCTTTTACCGCTTGGTCAGATTTATTTGAAAATATTGCAAATTCCACTATGACAATTGAACATTTATCCCTTTTTATCCCGCATAAGGCTCATAATAACAAGCAACTTTGTCAATCGCTATCGAATTTGATTCAATCACAATCAAATTTAAAAAGTTTGATAATTGATGAATTAACGGCCCTATTCGTTTATGACGCGCTTTCTAATAAAGCTCGATATTTAACGTTTTTAAGGGTTACTTGGCTAAGTAAATTTGATCTTTTATACCAAATTTTACCAATTTGCACGAATCTAGAAGCACTGGAATTTTCGCAAGCTTCACAACCTGAAACAGAAAATACAGATTTACAATTTCCAATCACACAAATTAATCTACGAAATCTTTATTGTGGCGAAGAGAATCCTTCACAATATATTATTACTACACTTCTTCGAATGTCCAATAACAAATTAAACACACTTTTACTCAAGAATGTCAACACCGAAGTTCTTAACACCTTAGAGTTATACTGTCCAAGAATAACACATCTTTGTTTGAAAATCACAGCAAAACAGTTACCAAATTTTATTCAACTGCTTTCGGGACTTGTACTTAAACATTTAGCTTTAGAAAATCTACCAGAGGAACCTCGATATGCCACTGAGGATATACGGCGATTAGCACAAACAATTCCACTTTCATTACGATATTTTGGGATAAAGTTTTACATCACCCTAGCAGATCTCAAATACTTTTACAAGGAGTGTGGGGCATCCCTTGATGCACTTGCGTTATATTACATACCTAAAATGGACGTTGAAATATTGACATCTATAATTAAATATTCAAAACATATTCCAAGCTTAAAATATATAAAGTTTGGGAGAGAAATTTTCAAGTATTATAAATCACTGCCAGTACATGACATGGAAAAAATTAATAAATTTAAGTATACTATCGGAGAAGTTAAACCTTTGAGTAATAGATTTTATGGTAAGTTTGTAAATTAATTAAATTAATGGTTATTATAATTTCATTTTTCTATAATTAATTCATTTTTCTGTATCATAGACATGGACATTCCAATAGATACATCATTCTAAATCCGAGAATCTGACAAACTTGGCAGTTGTAATATATACAATCTTTACCATTGTAATATATTATTATTTTGTAGATCTATTCAAAACGCTTAGAAAAAGTTGCTTATACATATTATCTTTTACGTTATTATCTAATAAATTAGTTGAAATGTTTCATAGAAAAATTTCATTTGGAGTTACTTTTTTGGTTTGCATATTTATTCGTGCCCAAGTTTGTATTATAGTGCTTCGTAAAAAGATGTGACCCTGAAATTTCTAAAACCCTAGATTGTCTATTTATCATATTCTCGATCAGTTATATTGATTTGAAATTGAATTCTCGCATGATATAGTGATCTGTGGGGGTCACGTATATTTACAATGATTTGAAAGAGAATTAACGACGATCGATATTTCACAAGTTTAGTATGCATAGGGATGGAGGTCCTAATAAGACCGGTCCATACAGCTATTATCATAATTCCTGGTAAAATTTGCCAAATGATTTTTCGGTCGACCAGTTAAGTTATTGATTTTGGCATGATCGGTATTTATATTTTACATGTATATAATACGTATCATACTTGTTCTACAGATAATTTTATCATTATAATATCGACACATTCAACGTTATTAAATTTTCATTTGAATACTTTACCCAACATGTTAGTGTGTTTAGTTTGTGCGAAAACTTATGAAAAAGTTTATTCTTAACTAGTGCTCCTAACGGGTTTGATCTGAACGACCCAAACTGATCTGGTTATAGTAAATTTAGTACATGACCCATATAATAAATTTACTATAGCCAGATCAGTTTCGGGTCGTTCAGATCAAACCCGTTAGGAGCACTATTCTTAACCAATAAATCTTAACAAGAAATATAAAAAAAAACGAATATAAATTTATAAAATAGAAAAATAGATATAGGTACAGTATATATAAATTACTTTTTTATGTGCATATCTAAGTCGGTATATAACTTTTTAAATTGTAATGCGACTAATTTTTATATCCTAACCAAAATTCCATTTCGGATTGTAATTCATACAAAGTTTTTCATTCATTAAAGTTTTAAGATATTATGTCATTCGTGTTCAGTAAACGTGGTTTTTTTGAAAGTGATAGAAGTTTTTCAATATATTTGAAAGTGAGAACCCGATTCATTGAAGACTTGCTAACACCTAAGTGTTTGTAATTTTTCGGACGATAAGCCTTCTAATTTTTTTGTAACTATTTGCCATCTAAGTTCTTTGTAACTATTTGCCATCTAAGTTCTTTGAAAGTATCATAATTCTGTATTCAACCAAAGATATGCATTTCGATATGTAGTTATATAATCTGTAATATTTATATTAGTTGGCTGATTTTAAATTACATACGTACATATATATCTGATATATCAATTTATCTGTTATTGAATCTATTATTCAAACTTAACGAATCGGCCGAAAAATCGTTCGGCCAATTTTTGTAGGTGTCCCAGGAATTATGATAATAGCTGTAAGGTTTTTTGGTCCAGTCTCGGTCCCAAAAGCGTTCCCGACCTCTAACTATCCTATTGGCTAGTGGAGAGAATTAAATCATATAATATCGGTAATTGAAATAAGCGATTGTCTAAAAAAAATTATTTAAATTAGCTATTTATGAAGACCGGTCCGAACTGGTCTCAGGACCAGGGACAGGTTAATCATAAGACCGGTTAAAAAGACTGGTTCTTATTATAGATGCTGGTGAAATTTAATATAACAGCCAATCAGATTTTAGATAGTTTCACCAGCGTTATTTAGTTTCACCAGCATCTATAGTTCTTATTCAGTCTTTTCAGGACTGATCCATCCCTAAGTATGCATTGTGAAATAATACATGTTTTTAGAGTTTGATGCTAATTGAGAGATGATATAAGTATGAGTGATAAAAAGGAAAAACCTGTATAAATTGGGTGAGTTTGGAGTAGAGATTGGACCCGTTGAGAAAATCTTTACCCGGGTATTATTAAATTACCCGGGTTATCCGGGTAAGTTATTATAATATATTTCGAGTAATCGTATAGTAACAATTTCTAATCCCTAGTTTGGAGCCGTTTAAAACCAATTTTAGTTTTAATATATAAAAACCCGATTTTAATCAGTTTTAACATATAAAAAATAAAATTGGTTCTATGTAATTTAAGAAAAAAATTTTAGATTATAATATTTGTCTTAAGAGCAAATTTTTTTTAATAATAAAATTTTAAAAAAATTTAAAAAAAAATTTAATAGTTAATTTTAATATTAATAAACTTTGAATTTTAATTAATTAAAAAAAGTTAATAAAATAAATTTTTAAAAATATTTTTTTAGAAAATATATTGTTAAAATTAATATATATTTTTCTACTACTGCATAGGCATGTACTAATTATAGTATCCTAATATATACTAGTATATAACCCGTGCCTCTGGCACGTAGGTTGTGTGAAATATATGAGCTTCCCAAGTTATATAATAATTTAAATATTTTCTTATTAGTATTTGATATAGCAATGATAAACACTATAATTTAATTATTCGGAATGGTATATATGTTGTGCCTCAGATTAATGCTTGCATTAGATGTCGTTTTGCCTGAGTATAATTGCTACCCTAATAGTGATAAATTTTTGTGATAGTAAGTAAAGGTACAGCGATATGGTTTTATGTTACACTTGAATTGCCTACAATAAGCAAAGATACGTATCTTAGTTACTATATTGTTGATCAACATCTTATATATGATACGCGAGCCAATCAAACTACTTGTTTATCTCCTATGTTTTATCACACCATAGCTCCTTAATATTTTATAGATACTTAATCCTCCCTAATATCAACCTATTTGAATTATTCTTATATTTATGTTGATAGTAATATTAGTAAAGAATTATAGTAAAATTGATATATATAAGAAAATTTATATATATAAAAATTATAAAAATTTGGCTTGTGGCTTAGGTTGATATTAATATAGATTTGATATTAACAAGGATCATGTGTATATTAATAGTTTTAAAATAATTTTAGATAATTTTAGACAAATTTGAACAGTTTTGAACAGTTTTGAACATGTCCAAAATTGTCCAATTAAAAAATTTAATTGGACATGTCCAATTGACAACACTGGTACATGAGGATCATTAACTTCAAATTTTATAATGGTTAAAATTTCGATATTATATCATTAATCAAATTTATATTGTATAGTTAAAAATATAAATATCAAACAAATTTACATTTTTTAGTACAAGTGTCTAACAAATTGTATAATTTTTTTTTTTTAACTTGAAGTTCTCAACTAGCTCTACACGGTAATAAATCAAAAGTTTATTAAAATCATTCAATTATTATATAAATATTAATTATTAATTATATAATTAATTTTTTTAAAAATAGCTCTATTACCACGTTGAGATCTTCAATTAAAAAAATTTTGTGTATATTTGTTAGAAAATGTAAATCTAATTTAATATTTAAATATACGGCCTATGAAATTAATGATCATATACGTATTAGATTAATTAATTTAGGCTGCACCCTAGTGATCGGTCGATCTGGAAATTAAAGATCGAAATGCTCAAATAATTGAATAACGGGTATGGGTGATCGGATGATCAGGGAAATTAAAGATCGAAACAATTCAAGTTGAATAGCGGGTGTGGATCGGTTAAATGCCATGTTCAAAATTGGACAATTCAAGTTAATAACGGGTTTTTAAAAGTTAAGGTGTTTGAAAATTCTCAATAAATATTACTCAATACTTTAAGCTAATTATTAGTATAACGTTATTTTACTTTTTAGTTAACCCAATAAATGTTACGTACTGAAAAAAATTTTTACATTTTTTAATATAAATTTACTCATAAGTATATTTTTCAAAATATCTATCTGTTAATACGTATAATTAATTCATAATTCGATCATTATGCACTATAACAGCAGTTTAAGAACACCATTATTATATTGTTCTCATAAGAACAGTATTTGAGTCCGAAATTTCAAACACTGCTCCTAAATATAGGTGCAGAAAGATGATCGATGACGTAACTTTTTTGTAGTAACTATATCGATATGACAGAAATGTTTCATAATATCCGACGACACCAATCACTCTCATTATTATTATGTAATGTAAATTCATTTTTCATTTATACTTTGTTATCATATTTTGTAAAATAAAATGCAAATAAATTACTGCTTTGATTATACAAGTTAATACAAAAAAGTTACGTCATCGATCATCTTTCTGCACCTATATTTAGGAGCA